TTTTAAGGTTAAGTCTTTTGAGAAGGAAAGGCAAACAGAGAAACATGTGCAGGAGTCTGATCTTATAGACCACGTTTTGCAGAAACTCAGAACTAAAGTCAGTGATGAAAGGACTATCAGGTAACAAAAGCCCAGAAAACCAGCTGTGAATACCTGTAGAACTTCTGTACCTTTAAAAATCAATTTGATCCTTTTGGGAAATACAGATACATCACGATAACTTTTAATGGATCATTCTGTTGCTTCCGAATAGCTCAGCAGTTTAAGTATGTGACCCCCCTATATAAGACAATCATAGTTTCAGGGTTTGTTTTTCATAACATGTCAGAGAATATTTTATCAGTTTGAAAGGCCCAAGGAGCCAAAATTAGGTCTGTTAATTAGTAAATTTTGGTAGTGTTTGTCAAAGTAATTGAAAGATTAATATATTCTGGGAAAAGATGTCATATATTCATGATGGAAATGTAGATTGTTTCAACTCTCTGGACAGGAATTTAAGAAAGTTAAAATTGCCTTAAAACTAAAAATTAAAAAGAAATACCCAGTAATTCTACTTTCAGGAATTTATAGTAAAAATTATTCCATGGGGGTATGTACAAAGATGTCTAGCAAGGCATTGTTTGTAACAGTTTCAATCTTTTTGGTCTGAGAACCACTTTATACCCTTAAAAATTATTTGAGAGCACCAAAGAGCTTTGTTTTTGTGGGTTATATCTACAATAATTTGTTAGAAATTAAAACACATTTTAAAAATATTTATTTTAAAATAATAAACCCGAGGCACCTGGGTGGCTCAGTCAGTTAGGTATCAGCTTTCACTTCCAGTTATGATCTCATGGTCCTGGGATCCAGCCCAGGCTCCCTGCTCAGCAGGGAGTCTGCTTCGCCCTCTCCCTCTTTCCTTCCCCCTCTTCCCCCCATGCTCTCTCTCACACAAATTAAAATTCTTTAAAAAAATAAAACAATAAACCCATTTTCCAAAACAAATTTTGGAAGAGTGACAATTTGACATTTTACAGATAATGCATTGTTTTACATTTTTGTAATCTCTTTAACATGTTAATAGAAAAAACTAGATTGTCACTATCTGCGTCTGTATTCAATCTGTTGTGCTATCACCCATCATACAGTCTCTGGAAAATTCCATGACACATTTGTGAAAGGATGACCCAAAAAAGGTAGAGGTTTAGAAGAGGTTTTTTTTATCTGTAAAAAAGGTAAATAACATTTTATATTATGGTGAAAACTTTTCTGACCTTGCAGACCTGTGCAAGGATCTCAGAAACTTCCAGAGGTCCCTGGACCACACTTGGAGAATCTCACAATATCACAACATTGATTGGTAGAAGATTGTTTGGATTATAGTCAATACAATGAAATGGTGTGTAGCCTTTAAAAATGATGATTCTAGGGACGCCTGGCTGGCTTTCTCACTAGAGCATGTGACTCTTGATCTCAGGGTCATGAGTTCGAGGGCCACATTGGGCGCAGGGTTTACTTAAAAAAAAATTTTTAAGGGGCATCTGGGTGGCTTAATCGTTAAGTGTCTGCCTTCAGCTCGGTTATGATCTCAGGGTCCTGGGATCGAGCCCCGCATCAGGCTCCCTGCTCCGCGGGAAGCCTGCTTCTCCCTCTCCCACTCCCCCTGCTTGTGTTCCCTCTCTCGCTGTGTCCCTCTCTGCCAAATAAATAAATAAAATCTTAAAATTTTTTTTTAAAAAAAACGATGATTCTAGTAAAGCTGAATTTATTGACCTGGAAATCTGTCCACAAAGAGATATATAATCCTGTTTTTTAAAACCAAAATATATAGCCCGTACATTGTCTGGAATGATATATCCGATTTTCTTTTTAAGATTTTCTTTATTTGAGAGAGAGCATGGGAGGAAGAATGAGAGGGAGAAGCAGGTTCCCCACTGAGCAGAGAGCTTGATGCTGGACTAGATTCCAGGACCCTGGGGATCATGACCTGAGCTGAAGGCAGACATTTAACCAACTGATCCATCCAGGTGCCCCCCCAGTTTTTAATTCTAGTTATTTCTGGTTAGTGGGATTATAAGGGATCTTAATTTTCTTTAAATTTCTATAATTTTCTATAAATGTGTAACTTTATATATATATATATATATATATATATATATATATATATATACACACTTATAACCAAAAATACTTTTTTTTTTCTCTCTTTTTTGCTTGTATCAGTGATTCTCAGGGGACATTTGGCACTGTTGGCAGATATTTTAGGCTGTTAGAACTGGTGGTGCTACTAATCATCCTACCATGCGGATGACTAACTGCCCCCCCCCACCCCCGTACCCTCATCCAAGAATTATCTGGCCCAAAATGTCAATAGTGCCAACATGAAAAACCATGGCTTATATCAAACAAACATTCTTACTTTCTTCTCCCTCCCTCACCCCGGCTCCCTCCCACCTGCACCTAGCTTGAATAAATTCACCATCACACTTCTTCTGAGGAAATAGAATGTTCTAGAAGTACCAGGTATTAGGATTACTGATCCCCAAAAAAAGGCAGAGGTGTAGAAGAGCAAACATAAAATGAGCTGAATATTTTAAGACACATAAAAGGCCCAGATGGGATTCAGTTTTAGCAGGGAAAAGTTTAATATCTTTCCTCCATGTGCATGATTACTTCCCTGTTTTCCCAAGATAAAGTGCTCTTGTGTCTCTCAAAGGCTGTAAACTAATTCAATCTTTAAAGAATATCCATTCACAGCTTTTGAAAGAATCTCCTTATTTACTAAATGTTCTCCTGCAGGTGATCACCAAGGTTGCTGCCACTTTTAAAAAAGGTGGGGCATGCCCTCCCTAATGTTTCCTTGTATTGTGAAGGGAGCGGAAAGAACACCCATTATAGTTCATTGAAATTAGCTTCTTATGTTGAGCCAGGGTTTCAGACACAGCTGAATAAATCAAAATGTTATCTTTAGGCATTTGTTAATTTGAAATGATATCCTTTATAATTTTTACTTGCTCTTGACCAAAAGCATAATTAAGTTCAATTTTTTTCTTCCACTAATAACCAATATTTAATTTTTACATTTAAGAGGAAAAAATGGCTCACTTTAAAGTATCTTTGTTGTGTTGTGCTATTGACTGTTTTCTAATTGTTTTTGTTTGCTTTTTTTTAGAGAAGCTTCTGATAATCTTGCAGTGCAAAATCTGAAGGGCTCCTTTTCTAATGCTTCAGGTATTGACTAATTAGAATCTAAACATCATAATGCTGTGTGTGTGCGCACTGCTATAAACATGCTGTGGCTGACTCCTTGTTGCATCGGAAATGTTTTTGTTTTTTTTTTTTTTAAAGATTTTATTTATTTATTTGAGAGAGAGAGAGCATGAGAGGGGAGAGGGTCAGAGGGAGAAGCAGACCCCCCGCTGAGCAGGGAGCCCGATGCGGGACTCGATCCAGGGACTCCAGGATCATGACCTGAGCTGAAGGCAGTCGCTTAACCAACTGAGCCACCCAGGCGCCCCGGAAATGTATTTTTAAAGTAACATATTCAATTAATTTTACCAAATGGAATTTATGCTTTGAAACTCACATCCTAGAAAATGACTAGGAGTTCGGTGGTTCCTCTAATCATAATACAGCTCTGTCTTCCTGTCTTATTTTCACAACTGGTTTAATCTTCCTTTGACTCAGTTTACTGTATAGATTAAATGTGGTTAATTTTCCTGGGAATTTTCCCCACACAGAAGGTTGAAGAATAATATATTGAAATAACCTTGAGGGGCCCCCGGGTGACTCAGTTGGTTAAGCAACTGCCTTCGGCTCAGGTCACGATCCTGGAGTCCCAGGATTGAGTCCTGCATCAGGCTTCCTGCTCAGCAGGGAGCCTGCTTCTCCCTCTGACCCTCCCCCATCTCATGCTCTCTCTCTCAAATAAATAAAATCTTAAAATAAATAAATAAATAAATAACCTTGAGAAAGACCATGTATACGTTTTATATTTCATGAAAGCCAAGAGGGAACGGTGGTGACAGTTAGGTCTTTAGTTTCATCACATCTGCCAACCTTACTGAAAAAGAAATGTCCCAATTACGTCCACAAGACGACGTATTTGGCTTTTAACAGAACTGGGTCTTTTTGGTTTGTTAGCGTTGACTTTCTGCCACTGTCAGATTTCAAATACTTTGAGGAATTTAAAGTATTGGAGTTTGAGAAATAGTAAGTTTGATTTTTTTTCCCTTAGGTTCATGAGGTTTTGGTGATTCATATAGCCTCCCTATGCTTTTGTCACCTTCCACCCCCACTTCCACCTGAGAGAAGGCTGGGAGTCGACAGAAGCACTAAAACTGCTGGGTGTTAGGGTTCTGGGTTCCTCAAGGTCAAGTGCAGCTAGTTGCAGAGATGGAAAACAAAGCCCAGACAGAATCTAGCCCATAGAATCACACCAGAGTGGATTCTACATCTCTGCCGTCTCTGTGGTCCCAAGACCATAAATTCTTCAACTCTCTGTTTCAGGTTTGTTTGAAATCCACGGAGCAGCAGTTGTTCCCATTGTGAGTGTGATAGCCCCAGAGAAGCTGTCAGCCAACACTAGGCGGCGGTATGAAACTCAGGTACACACACTTTCCTCAGCTTTCTAATGTCAAGCTACAAAGGAGGAAGAAAACAGGAAAGAAGATAAGAAATGGTTTCCTGGAAAGAGTTTTCTTCCCACTTCCTTAACTTGGTGGCTTCTGAAAATTTAAGCATCTCTCTGGTGTTAGGATTCTGTCCCATTTGTCCTCTAAAGAGGCGTCCGTGTACATTATGGGCACCTAGAAGTACCTACTGTCAGAATTACTAGATATAAACAAAGACTTTCTGATCTGGATCTAATGGCAGACAGGGTTGCTTTGTTTCTGTTCTAACAAAGCAGAAGAGATCTATTCCAAGACTTGAGGCAGGTTTCTCCCTGCATACATGTTTTTGGTATTTGCTATCTACCTGATTCTGTGTGAAATGCCACATAAAATTTAAAAGACATATGGCATGGCCCCAATCCTCAGAGTTTTTTTTTTTTTCCCCTAAGATTTTATTTGTTCATTTGAGACACAGAGATCCAGAGAGAGAGAGAGAGATCATGAGCAGGGGGAGCAGGAGAGGGAGAAGCAGGCTCCCTGCCCAGCCAGGAGCCTAATGTGGGGCTTGATCCCAGAACCCCGGGATCATGACCCAAGCCAAAGACAGACGCTTAACCATCTGAGCCACCAGGCGCCCCAATCCTCAAGGAGCTTTTAACCTTAGAAGCATATGTAGTATACAGTTAGAGAACAACAGAAGAGCAATAACAGAATGCTGAATTAGATACACTGAAGGTGAGTGTTGGACATAGGGGCAGGGTGGAGATCAGTGTCTGCTTGGATGATAGATGAAGGTTTCCTGGAGGGGGATCCCTGAAGGATTTAAATAGGGAGGAAAGATCAGGGCAATCCTCCAGCTAATGAGCTCAGTCAGGACACTGGCCTCACTTGGCAAGTGGGTGTTAGAGCAGTCATTATTTAGAAATGGGATTAGAGGGGCACCTGCGTAGCTCAGTCGGTTGTTTCCTGACTCTTGATTTCAGCTCAAGTCATGATCTCAGGGTTTGAGATCAAGCCCCGAGCCAGGCACCACACTCAGCAGAGTCTGCTGCTCTCTCTCTAATAAATAAATCTTTAAAATAAATGTGATTAGATTGAAATACAAAAGATTAAGTTACCTCATTTTTGTATGCACTCCTAGCTGTTTCTCAGTATAGTGGATGGCAACTTATTTTGACATCTTTCTGCTGCATTCATCTATTACCATATTTCAGTTCCATGTCCTCATTGATGTCACCTTCCCCTTTTTCCAAATTTAGCTTAATACCAAAATCCCCATGCTTCCACATGCAGTTTCAGTGCTCTGAGGTTTTAGGTGTCATTTTAAAATTATAAAGAAATAAGTAGGTGGGTTATTAAATTATCAAAACAGGCTATAGGGGCGCCTGGGTGGCTCAGTCGTTAAGCGTCTGCCTTCGGCTCAGGTCATGATCCCAGGGTCCTGGGATCGAGCCCCGCATCGGGCTCCCTGCTCAGCCAGGAGCCTGCTTCTCCCTCTCCCACTACCCGTGCTTGTGTTCCCTTTCTAGCTGTCTCTGTCAAATAAATAAATAAAATCTAAAATCAGGCTATAAAATCTCGAGATCAGGAGAGGCTGGGCACTCATCTTTTCAAGTCCTTAGATAAGCTTTGGGAGCCCTTCTAGGCCTTAGTTTGTCACTCGTGATTGTTTACTACAATAGGAAATAAAATGGCAAGAAAGATGGTTTGTGTTGACAGGTTCTGAATTCTGACAAGTCGTCTTCTTGTTTAGGTACAAACACGACTTCAGGCCTCCCTTGCCAACTTACATCAGAAAAGCAGTGAAATTGAAATTTTGGCTGTAAGTTGCTCTCTTTAACGTTTTGAGGACTGCCTGTGTCCCTGTCATCAAAGTCATTTCCTCAGAGGTCAGGGCATTTTTGCTCCCTGTGCACAGTATGGGGATGCAGACCTTTTATCACTGATGCGAACCACATGTAATCTAAATCTGTAAAAACGGGGGAGAAAATGAAAGGTTTTGTATTTGTTTCTCCTGTTTTCTTCCTCTGAAAGATGGGGCGCAGGGTGAGTCAAAACCAAAATCACCATTTTTCTAAAATGCTTCAGACTTTTGCCTTATTAAAAATCCATGGAGTATGGCAGCAACAGCAAGCCTCTGAGGGAATCTGTCCACCAGCGTTGACATCTTACCTCTCCGCGGTTCCCGTACGTGTGCCCGATTTGATAGAGCACAGCAGCGTCCCAGACTCTGCAAGCCCGGCTGCATGTTGCTCCATCCAGGGTGACACTATTGTGACAAGTCAGTATGTGCTGCCTAGGTCCCCTGACAGATGACATACATCTTTGTGTATCAACAGGTGGATCTACCCAAAGAAACAATCTTACAGTTTTTATCATTAGAGGTAAGCAAGATGAGCTCTTGTGCATTGGGGCCTTTAAAATTCCAAAGTTTTGCTGTTAATTTGCCAAAACATAACTGAAAATGGCATTATTTTCTTAGTGATACTTTTGGGCAGTTCCAGGAATTTAATTATTGTTCCTTTTATGTGACATAGATATTACTAAATCAGATTTTGAGAGAATCATACTTTTCTAGTGACTTCTAAGTTTCAGAGATTATTTTAACACCTCGTACATTTATCGTGTGTCAGGCTCTGGCAGGCCTTGCTCTAAGCATAATCATAACAACCTCGAGAGGTAGCTACCGTTATGCCCATTATATAGATAAACGGAAGCCAAAGCATTTTACATTTTATGGAGTATGGAAGAGACGTTAAATATCTTACTCAAGGTCAACCTACTAGTAATGCTAGCAGAGCCAGGATTTGAACTTAGGCAGGCTAGGGGAATCTGTATTCCTAACTACTATACAATGCTGCCTCAGACCTTCATTTCAACTAGGGAAGCTTATATAGATCTAGAACTATATGGAAGATATTTTTGTAAAAACTGAGGTCATTATATAAAAATTTTTTGTGGGTAGCACAGAAAACAAATAATCCAATTAAAAATGGGCAGAAGACATGAAAGGATACAGATGGCCAACAGACATATGAAAAGATGTTCAACATCACTCCTCATCAGGGAGATACAAATCAAAATTACAATGGGATATCACTTCACATCCGTCAGAATGGCTAAAATCAACAACACAAGAAACAACAAGTGTTGGAGAGGATGTGGAGAAATAAATAGGAACCCTAGTGCACTGTTGGTGGGAATGCAAACTGGTGCAAATACTGTGGAAAATAGTATGGAGGTTTCTCAAAAAGTTAAAAATGGAGCTACTCTACAATTCAGTAATTGCACTACTGGGTATTTACTCAAAAAATACAAAACACTAATTCAAAGAGATACACGCACCCCTATGTTTATAGCAGCATTATTTACAATAGCCAAATTATGGAAGCAGCCCAGATGTCCACTGATAAATGAATGGATAAAGATGTGGGGATGGGTGTGTGTATACACATACACATACACACATATATATACACACACAATGGAAAGTTATTCAGCCATAAAAAAGAATGAAATCCTGCCATTTGCAACAACATGGTTGGAGCTAGAGACTAGAATGCTAAGTGGAATAAGCCAGAGAAAGACAAATACCATATGATTTCACTCATATGTGGAATTTAAGAAACAAAATGAGCAAAGGAATAAAAAGACAAACCAAGAAACACTCTTTTTTTTTTTTAAGATTTTATTTATTTATTTGACAGAGACAGAGACAGCGAGAGCAGGAACACAAGCCCCGGGAGTGGGAGAGGGAGAGCAGGCCTCCCGCCGAGGAGGGAACCCGATGTGGGACTCGATCCCAGGACCCTGGGATCATGACCCGAGCCGAAGGCAGACGCTCAACGACTGAGCCACCCAGGCACCCCAAGAAACACTCTTAACTATAGAGAATAAACTGATGATTTCCAGAAGGGAGGTGGGTGGGGGGATAGGTAAATAGGTGATGGGGATTAAAGAGTACACTTCTCATGATGAACAGGGAGTAAATACACAGAATTACTGAATCACTGTATTGTACACCTGAAACTAATAATACTGCGTGTTAACCATACTGGATTTAAAAAGTTCTTTATGGGTAGCCTTCTTATCAAATAGCCTAGTAACTTTAAAAAGTTTGAATAAGCATTTTTTTTATCATGTTAGTCACCGTACAGTACTTCATTAGTTTTTGATGTAGTGTTCATGCTGCGTGAATAAGCATTCTTAATAGCAAAGATAATGAATTATAATCACAGCTGCAGAGGATTTTTTAACATCCTATTAAAGAATACTTTGTCTATCCAGAGCATTTCGATTAAATTAGATGAAATAAATGAACTTTGCCCCAGAAGTAACATTTCCTACATTTTCTATTGTGGTCTTGTAAATAAGCATATATACCACTGTGCTGGCTATTACTGCTTTATGAGCCACTCAGATGGAGGCACAGAGGTGTTATTTCCATTTTCCACAAAATGAATGGGCAGAAATAACTGGTCTAAAGTCACAGTAGCACACTGCGGCTGCAGCTTTGCTAATCAGGATCTAATAAGGGGTCTTGCTGTAAAGAAAATTGATGCTTCAAAGGAAGAACCCCAGCAGTCGCCCCACCACTTCTATCTATAACTGGTTTTATTTTCAGTACACGGGGGGATGGCACTGGCATTTCATCAGTGACCCAGGAAAAGCCAGTTAATAAACATTAGTAGCTGTTACCAAGTCTTATCTCTTTTTTTCCCAGTGGGATGCTGACGCACAGGCATTTAACACAACCGTGAAGCAGCTGCTGTCACGCCTGCCAAAGCAGAGATACCTCAAATTAGTCTGTGATGAAATTTATAAGATCAAAGTGGAAAAAAAGTAAGTTATTGCTAAAGTAGTGCAGGTTTCAATATGGGTTAAAATTCAAGGGGTTTAAAGTGACACATTTTATTGTCTTGTTGAGGTTTGATGGCTGATAAACCATTATGTCAGAACTGCACTTGATATCAGTAAATCTTGTTCAGGACTATGAATCACAGTCACAATTTGTCAATAACAAAACACAGCATTGCCAGGAGTAGCTGTCCCACTTAAAATTTTCATCACCCAGGTAACTCCTAGCAGTGTCTGCATGAAAGGGAACTGCTGTGACTGCTTTGCTGCAGGTCCTCTTGTCAGAATGCCGGTCATTCATGTTGCCATCTGCTTCAAAGGCGACCAGAAAACCTGTGAGGTGACCGGGGTTCCCCTTATGTAGGGCCTTACATACAGACCCCGTGCCAGTCAAAGCTTCTGTAACATGTCATTTTTTTCAGTCACTAGCCTTCCATCTTTTTTTAAACTAAACTCTTACAGTTAAGTGTTCTAAAAATAACTTGTTTTTAACTTTGTTCACCACCCAGTATACTGATCTTACCTTCACTCTTTCGCAGGGTGTCTGTGCTATTCCTGTACAGCTACAGAGATGACTACTACCGGATCTTATTTTAATCCTAAAGAATGGTCGTTATCTTGTTCTAAGACAGGAGCTTATACTACGAAATGCTGTACAGTTATTGTAATTTTAACTTTACATTGTAAGAAGCTGTCCTACAAAGTTGAGCTTTGTAAGTTTTTCATGTATAATATATAAATTTATCTTTTTGAACATAATAAGCTTTCATATATCTGCTGCTTTTAAGTTGCAAATCTCTTAACTCTGAAGGTTTTGTGGAGCTAGAACACAAGAAAATAGCCATGTTTTTCCCTTAATTCTAATGACTAAGGAAATGCCCAAACCACCCCCAACAAGTCAACCCAAAAAGATCCACATCAAGACACAAAGTAGTAATGAAGAGAATTTTAAAGCAAGAGAAAACACTTACATAGCCTTGTAAAGCTATCAGCTCATTTTTCAGCAGAAACTTTGAGCAGAAGGGAGTGCCGTGATAAATTCAAAGTGCTTAAAGGAAAAAGCCTGCAGCCAAGAATACTCTCTCTCTTCTATTCTGAATGATAGCCTTGCTGGATAAAGAGTTTCTCAAAAGTTAAAGGAATTCACGACCACTGAATCAGCCCTACAAGAAGTGTTAAAGAGGACTCAGTGGACAGGAAAAATCATAACAGGCACAAGAAGGGTAGGAAGCACCAAAGCAATTAAGTATATCTGTAAAAATTAGTCAAGGGAGAAACAGCAAAAAAGGATGTAAAGTATGACACCATATACCTAGAATTGTGGTAGGGAGAGGAATAAAGAATGGGTTCAAACTTAAGTGAACGTCAACTTAATATAGATTGCTATATACTTAAGAGGTTAGATACTAACCTAATGGTAACCACAAATCAAAAACCAGTAATAGATAGGCAAAAAACAGAGAAAAGAATATCACTAAGGAAAGCCTGCAAAAACATGAGAGAAGAGCGCAAGAGAGGAAAGAAACCAAGAACTACAAAAACAACCATAAAATAAGTAACAAAACCATACACAAAAATAAATTCAAAATGGTTGAAAGACCTAAATGTAAGACAGGAAACCATCAAAATACTAGAGGACATACCAGGGAGCAAAGTCTTTGACCTCAGCCATAGCAACTTCTTACTAGACACATCTCCAGAGGCAAGGGAAACAAAAGCAAAAATGAACTATTGGGACCTCATCAGGATAAAAAGCTTCTGTACAATGAAGGAAACAAGCAACAAAACTAAAAGGCAACCAACGGACTGGGAGAAGATATTTGCATATGACATACTGGAGAAAGGGCTAGTATCCAGAATCTATAAAGAACTCATCAAAATTAACACCCCAAAAATAATCCAGTTAAGAAATGTACAGAAGACATGAACAGACATTTCTCCAAAGACGACACACAGAGGACTAACAGACACATGAAAAAATGTTCAACATCACTCATCATCAGGGAAATACAAATCAAAACCACAGTGTGATACTACCTCACACAAGTCAAAATGGCTAAAATTAACAACTCAGGAAACAACACATGTTGGCAAGGATGCAGAAAAAGAACACTTCTGCACTGTTAGTGGGAATGCAAACTGGTGTAGCCACTCTGGAAAACAGTATGGAGGTTCCTCAAATAGTTAAAAATAGGGGCACCTGGGTGGCTCAATCGTTAAACATCTGCCTTCAGCTCAGGTCGTGGTCCCAGGGTCCTGGGATCGAGCCCTGCATCGGGCTCCCTGCTCGGCAGGAAGCCTGCTTCTCCCTCTCCCACTTCCCCTGCTTGTGTTCCCTCTCTCGCTGTGTCTCTCTCTGTCAAATAAATAAATCTTTAAAAAAAAAATAGTTAAAAATAGAACTACACTTCGACCCAGCAATTGCACTAGTAGGTATTTATCCAAAGGGTTCAAAAATGCTGATTTGAAGGGGCACACGCACCCCAATGTTTACAGCAGCACTATCAACCATAGCCAAATTATGGAAAGAACCCAAATTTCCATCAATTTTTGAATGAAGAAGATATGGTATATATACACAATAGGGTATTAGTCATCAAAAAGAATGAAATCTTGCCATTTGCAACACTGGATGGAACTAGAGTGTAGGATGCTAAGTCAAGTCAGAGAAAGACAAATACATGATTTCACGCATACGTGGAATTTAAGAAACCAAACACATGAACATAGGGGAAGGGAAGGAAAAATAAAAACAGGAGGCAAACCATAAGTGACTTTTTTAAAGAAGATTTTTTTTTAATTTGAGAGACCATGAGCACAAGTGGGGGGAAGGGCAGAAGGAGAGGGAGAAGCCAACTCCCTGCTAAACAGGGAGGCTGACGTGGGGCTGAATCCCCAGACTCCAGGATCATGACCTGAGCCAAAGGCAGACACTTAACCGACTGAGCCACCCAGGTGCCCCAAACCATAAGTAACTCTTTTTTTTTTTTCCTAAGCTTTTATTTATTTGACAGAGAGACAGCGAGAGAGGGAACACAAGCAGGGGGAGTGGGAGAGGGAGAAGCAGGCCTCCCGCTGAGCAGGGAGCGTTATGTGGGGCTCGATCCCAGGACCCTGGAATCGTGACCTGAGCCGAAGGCAGATGCTTAATGACTGAGCCACCCAGGCGCCCCAACTAACTCGAATTTAAATAAAAGTAAGTAACAAAATGGCAGTAAGTATATAACTATCAATAATTACTTTGCAAATGGATTAATCAAAAGACAAAGGGTGATAGATGGATAAAAAAGCAAGACCCATCAACATGCTGCCTACAAGACACTCATTTCAGTCCCAGACACCTGCAGGTTGAAAGTGAAGGGATGGAAAAGCACTTACGCAAATGGAAGTGAAAACAAAGGGGGGGGGGGGAGGTTTGCAATCCTTACATGGGACAAAATAGACTTTAAAACAAAGAATATTAGGGCACCTGGGTCACACCTGGGTTATTAAGTGTCTGACTCTTGGTTTCGGCTCAGGTCGTGATCTCAGGGTCATTAGATGGAGCCCTGTGCTGGGCTCTGTGCTCAGCACAGTCTTCTTGGGATTCTCGCTCCCTCCCTCTCTGCCTCTGTCCCTCCCCACAACCCCGCAGTCTCTCTCTCTCTCAAATAAAATCATGGGGCACCTGGGTGGCTCAGTTGGTTAGGCGTCTGCTTTCGGCTCAGGTCATGATCCCAGGGTCCTGGGATCGAGCCCCACGTCGGGCTCCCTGCTCAGTGTGGGGAGCCTACTTCTCCCTCTCCCTCTGCTGCTCCCTGTGCTTGTGCTCTCTCTGTCAAATAAATAAATAAAATCTTAAAAAAAAAAAGTCTTAAAAAAAAAAAAGACTTTAACGAGATGAAGAGGGGCACTACATAATAATAAACGGACAATCCAACAAGAGGATGTAACAAAACTATGCACCCAACATGGAAGCACCCAAATACATAGAGCAGGTAATAACAAAGGAAGCAATCAAGAGTAATACAGTAACAGTACGGGACTTTAACACCCCACTTATATTAACAGATCATCCAAATAGAAAATCAAGGAAACTGGTTTTGAATGATACACTGGACAAGATGGATCTAACAGATATATTCCGACCATTCTATCCTAAAACACCAAAATACACATTCTGCTCAAGTGCACATGGAACACTCTCCAGAAGCGATCACATATTAGGCCACAAAACAAGCCTCAACAAATAAGTTATACCATGCATCTTTTCCAATCACAATGCTATGTTACTAGAACTCAACAAGATAAAATCTTCCTGGAAAGAGGGGCGCCTGGGTGGCTCAGTGGGTTAAGCATCTGCCTTCGGCTCAGGTCATGATACCAGGGTCCTGGGATCGAGCCCCGCATCGGGCTCCCTGCTCAGCAGGGAGCCTGCTTCTCCCTCTGCCTGCTGCTCCCCCTGCTTGTGCGCTCTCTCTCTCTCTGCCAAATAAATAAGATCTTTAAAAAAAAAAAGAAAAAAAATCTGCAAAGAGCACAAATACATGGAAGCTAAATAACATGCTACTCAACAGTGAATGGGTCAACCACAAAATCAAAAAGGAAACAAAAAAATACATGGAAACAAATGAAAGTGAAAATACAATGGTCCAAAATCTTCAGAGTGTGGCAAAAGCAGTTGTAAGTGGGAAGTTTACAGCAATACAGGTCTACATCAAAAAGCAAGAAAATTCTCAAATAACCTAAGCTTACACCTAAAGGAGCTAGAAAGAATAAACAAAACCCCAAACCAAGAAGGAAATAATAAAGGTTAGAGCAGAAATAAACGAAAAAGAAACTAAAACAATAGAAAAGATCAATGAAGTGAGGAGCTTGTTCTTTGAAAAGATAACAAAATTGATAAACATTTAGCCAAACTCATTAAAAAAAAAAAAGGATTCCAAAATCAGAAATGGAAGAGGAGAAATAACCGCGCAGAAATACAAAGGATTATAAGACAATACTATGAAAATTAAATGCCAACCAATTAAGACAACCTAGAAGAAATGGATACATTTTTAGAAACATATAACCTCCCAAACTAAATCAGGAAGAAATAGAGAATTTGAACAGACCACTTACCAGCAATGAAATTAAATCAGTAATCAAAAAAGTCAACATGGGGCACATTGGTGGCTCAGTTGGTTAAGCATCTGACTCCTAATCTCAGCTCAGGTCTCGATCACTGGGTCATGAGTTCAAGCCCCCGCTGGGCTCCATGCTAGGCTTGGAGCAACTTAAACGAAACAAACAAAACACCACAAAAAAAGAGAACTATAGGCCAATATCTCTAATGAACATAGATGTAAATA